CATTGTGCTAGTGTGTATCAGAGTGGTATGACATTGTGTGAGTGTTTTGCAGAGTGGTATGACATTGTGTGAGTGTGTTTCAGAGTGGTATGACATTGGGTGAGTGTGTAGCCGAGTGGTATGACATTGTGTCAGTGTGTATAAGAGTGATATGACATTGTGTGAGTATGTATCAGAGTGATATGACATTGTGTGAGTGTGTATCAGAGTGGTATGACATTACCTGAGTGTGTATCAAAGTGGTATTACATTGTGTGAGTGTATTTCAGAGTGGTATCACATTGTGTGAGTGTGTTTAAGAATGGTATGACATTGTGTGAGTGGGTAACAGAATGGTATGACATTGTGTGAGTGTGTATCAGAGTGGTATGACATTGTGTGAGTGTGTATCAAAGTGGTATGACATTGTGTGAGTGTGTATCAGAGTNCAGTGTATAAGAGTGATATGACATTTAGTGAGTGTATAAGAGTGATATGACATTTAGTGAGTGTGTATCAGAGTGGTACATTTTTGTATGACATTGTGTGATTGTGTATCAGAGTGGTATGACATTGTGCTTGTGTGTAACAGAGTGATATGACATTGTGTGAGTGTGTGGCAGAGTGGTATGACATTGTGTGAGTGTGTTTCAGAGTGGTATGACATTGTGTGAGTGTGTATCAGAGTGGTGTGACACTGTGTCAGTGTATAAGAGTGATATCACATTTAGTGAGTGTGTATCAGAGTGGTATCACATTGTGTGAGTGTGTATCAGAGTGGCATGACATTGTGTGAGTGTATCAGAGTGGTATGACATTGTGTGAGTGTTTTGCAGAGTGGTATGACATTGTGTGAGTGTGTTTCAGAGTGGTATGACATTGTGTGAGTGTGTGGCAGAGTGATATGACATTGTGTGAGTGTGTGGCAGAGTGGAATGACATTGTGTGAGTGTGTTTCAGAGTGGTATGACATTGTGTGAGTGTGTATCAGAGTGGTGTGACACTGTGTCAGTGTATAAGAGTGATATGTGAGTTTGTATCAGAGTGGTATGACATTGTGTGAGTGTGTGGCAGAGTGGTATGATATTGGGCGAGTGTGTAGCAGAGTGGTATAACATTGTGTCAGTGTGTATAAGAGTGATATGACATTGTGTGAGTGTGTATCAGAGTGGTGTGACACTGTGTCAGTGTATAAGAGTGATATGACATTTAGTGAGTGTGTATCAGAGAGGTATCACATTGTGTGAGTGTGTATCAGAGTGGTGTGACACTGTGGCAGTGTATAAGAGTGATATGACATTGTGTGGGTGTATCAGAGTGGTATGACATTGTGTGAGTGTGTGGCAGAGCGGTATGACTTTGTGTGAGTGTGTATCATAGTGGTATGACATTGTGTGTTTGTGTATCAGAGTCGTATGACATTGTGTGAGTGCGTATCAGAATGGTATGACATTGAATTGTGTGAGTGTGTATCAGAGTGGTATGACATTGTGTGAGTGTGTTTCAGAGTGATGTCCTGTTACCTCGTTGGGATTACAGATGGTGAGTCGCTCACATTCTGTAGGATCTGCCATGTGTTGACATTGGTAACAGTACGGGCCACGTGATTCACGTGATGGTGGACCTACAGGTAAGATATCAGCCTTCTTTAACAAAATACACACGAAAAAATATTGTTCGAACCAATCATATCTTTTTGAAAAAGATATCATACAATTACATTGTACGTTAGAAATACATGGACTTGATGTACAAATCAATTCTTCAGTGTATTCACTTTTATAATGAAATACCTTCCAAGATGCATCGGTATACCTGTCAGTCTGTCAGTCAATGATAAACAGATTCACTGATGTTTTAATGTGTTCGTGTATAGCTACAGCATCATACCAACAAAAATGAACACTGAAACATACTCTGTATAGACACAGTGACCACGGCTATAACTGGCACTTAACTAAAACCCGAAGAACCCATAAAGCTTACAGCTCGTAGATAAAACAGTTTTTGACCATATACTTGCAGTAATAACATTATTTTGATGTCTTTTAAAACATTACTGGTATTATTACAATTAATGTATACTTTGTTTTGATGAAATTGTCAAAGTAATGATTCTATCATAATGTTCACGTAAACAATGGTGATATGTATGTTAACTGTATGTTATACTTTATAAACTGTTCAATTCATGCGTTTAGCTTTCATTCAAAAAAAAAGCGTGGCTCACCAAAGATAAAAAAAATATACGCATGTTAGTGTTTTACGTTAATCTTTACCTTTATTAAACCAGTTCACTAAATGTGATAAAAAAAAAATATAGCATAATTGTATATTAAACATGTTACCCGCCCCCTGGCTGCCTGCAGTATTACAGTACAATTGGGTGAAATGTATTTATGATTTTTGACAGCTGACTTTACAGATTCTGCCCACTGTGACTTTGAGTTGTTTTCAGCGGTTAAGAGTCGAAACTTCGGTCACTAACACTCTTTGCGTTTCAAAGGAAACAGACGTTTTCGAAAGCTCGCAATAATGAGTTTTTAATCCTGTTTTGTTCAAAGCAACCTTTATTATTCATACCAAACTGATGAATATTATTCTGAAGACTTCATAGTTGATTACAAGTCTTTTGTTTATTTCTCAAATCCTGCTCAGTACCAGTGTACTGAAACACATTAATGAACAAATGTTCTTAAAGGTCAAGTTTTATTTTTATACACAATAGGGTACTCAATTTTTGTTTTCATATATTTTTTCAGAAACCAATGAACAAAGTATAACTGAGAATTCAGAGAAACAGGAAAGACAGTGAATCGTTACATACATTGATATTAACATAACATGTACTTACCAGGATCACCACAGCCCTTATTGTTACACATTAACATTACATGTACATCCCAGGATCACCACAGCCCTTATTGTTACACATTAACATTACACGTATATACCAGGATCACCACAGCCCTTATTGTTACACATTTATAATACACGTACATACCAGGATCACCACAACCCTTGTTGTTACACATTTATATTACACGTACATACCAGGATCACCACAGTCCTGATTGTTTCACATTAACATTACATGTAGATACCAGGATCACCACAGCTCTTATTGTTACACACTAACATTACATGTACATACCAGGATCACCACAGCCCTTATTGTTATCCATTAACATTACACGTACATATCAGGATCGCCACAGCCCTTATTGTTACACATTAACATTACACGTACATTCCAGGATCCCCACAGCCCTTATTGTTACACATAAACATTACACTTACATACCAGGATCACCACAGCCCTTATTGTTACACACTAACATTACATGTACATACCAGGATCACCACAGCTCTTATTGTTACACATTAACATTACAAGTACATACCAGGATCACCACAGCTCTTATTTTTACACACTAACATTACACGTACATACCAGGAACACCACAACCCTTATTGTTACACATAAACATTCCACGGACATACCAGGATCGCCACAGCCCTTATTGTTACCCATTAACATTACACGTACATATCAGGATCGCCACAGCCCTTATTGTTTCACACTAACATTTCATGTACATACCAGGATCACCACAGCCCTTACTGTTACCCATTAACATTACACGTACATATCAGGATCACCACAGCCCTTATTGTTACACACTAACATTACACGTACATACCAGGATCACCACAACAGTTATTGTTACACACTAACATTACACGTACATACCAGGATCACCACAGCCCTTATTGTTACCCATTAACATTACACGTACATACCAGGATCGCCACAGCCCTTATTGTTACACATATCCCCGTCACAACACTCCACACACGTCACCTGGCCGTACGCTGTTGAGTCTCCAAAGGACGAAGGTAATGTGTTATCTAAAGAACAACTCTACAAAACAAACAGTTTTTTTTGTAAGTATTTGATATGTTTGAACAATGAACACATACAACTAAATCATCTGGTTACTTGTTTTGTATATTGATTACATGTAAATCTTTTTTTGCAAATGCGTCAAATGAAAACAGATGCATTAGGAGATATTCAATACATATTATCAGAGATACAAATGTATATATTACATAATGTCAGATATATCTATTACATATTTTTATATATCCGTTTCATATTGCCACTTATATCTATTATACATTGTCATATATCTATTACATATTGTCATAAAATATTGTCAAAGATATTTATTCATATTATTATATATCTATTACGTATTGTCATATAATATTGTCAAAGATATTTATTCATATTGCCATATATCTATTACAAATTGTCATAAATCTATTACATATTGTCTTATAATATTGTCAAAGATATTCATTCATATTATCATATATCTATAACATATTGTCATAAATCTATTACATATTGTCATATAATATTGTCAAAGATATATATTCATATTATCATATATCTATTACATATTGTCATATATCTATTATATATTATCATATAATATTGTCAAAGATATCTATAACATATTGTCAAATACCTCTATTACATATTGTCATATATTTATTACATATTATCATATATACATATTACATATTGTCACATATATCTACTACATATTGTCATACATATCTATTACATATTGTCAAAGATATATATTACATATTGTTATATCTTTTACATATTGTCATATAATATTGTCAAAGCGATTTATTCATATTGCCATATATCTATTACATAATGTCATAAATCTATTACATATTGTCATATATATATTACATATTATCATTTATATATTACATTTTGTCAGACATATCTATTAAATATTGTCATCTATATATATTACACATTATCATATATCTATTACATTTTGTCAGACATATCTATTACATTTTCTCAGACATATCTTTTACATATTGTCTGACATATCTATTACATATTGTCATATATATATTACATATTGTCTGACATATCTATTACATATTGTCATATATATATTCCATATTGTCATACATATCTATTACATATTGTCATATATCTATTACATATTGTCATATATATCTACTACATATTGTCAGAGAATTATATTACATATTGCCACATATATTAATATCTATGAATATATTTTACACGCATGTACCATATTTCATTTCATATATTTTATTACGTATTATTACTAAGTACATTACTATCGAATTACTACATCATTTACTTTAAAATTTCTTATGTATTTCAATTGTACTTTTTGAAACGATTGAAATCCATAACTAAGCTTTAATCATACTGAGACCATACTGACTAGTTCAGTTTTCGAATCACTTTGAAATAAAGACATATAATTTTCCCTTTATTTAGCTAATGACTGCACTCTTCCTGTCACGTTTTACATTAATAAAAGCTTGTTACCTGGTTGTTCACACAGCTTGAAGTGAATTGGTCATGACCATTATGTGTCCGTATTTTTTGGACATGGCATTTCTGAAAAAAATAATAATTGAGAAGTGAGAGGCCTCATTTTAAATTGTGATATGATATATTACACGACGCCTAAGGCATACTCTCGGTTAAAACATTCTAAGTAAGATACCAGTGTAGAGTAAAAATGGCTTGATCCTAAATATAAAGGGCATGTCTCAGATAAACATGGATACTGAATTCAACCTGCACAACACACCTACATATATATACATATTTATAAAATACATTTTGATAACATTTTGTTTAGAAGACCGTTTTTTTTCAAAAACTATTTTCTCTAGATTTGGGACTTGTGAAAAACATGGTTACTACATCAAAATACAACAAAAGATGCAAACAAAACATGATTTTTAACCCAAAATTTGACCCCGCAAGTAGTAATTTTTTTCTTGAAGCCTGTCTGAAATTGAATATCGCCTACTCGGTTACAGTAATACTCACGTTTCAGCATAGGTCATTCCGATTTTTCACATTCTAAGTAAGGCATACTCTCGGTTATAACATTCTAAGTAAGGCATACTCTCGGTTAAAACGTTCTAAGTAAACCATACTCTCTGTTATAACATTCTATGTCAGGCATACTCTCGGTTATAACATTCTAAGTAAGGCATACTCTCTGTTATAACATTATATGTAAGGCATACTCTCGGTTATAACATTCTTACTAAGGCATACTCTCGGTTATAACATTCTAAGTTAGGCATACTCTCGGTTAAAACATTCTAACTAAGGCTTACTCTCGGTTATAACATTCTATGTAAGGCATACTCTCGGTTATAACATTCTAAGTAAGGCATACTCTCGGTTATAACATTCTAAGTAAGGCATACTCTCGGTTAAAACATTCAAAGTAAGCCATACTCTCGGTTAAAGGTTAAAACATTCTAAATAAGCCATACTCTTGGTTATAACATTCTATGTAAGGCATACTCTCGGTTATAAAATTCTAAGTAAAGCATACTCTCTGTTATAACATTCTATGTAAGGCATACTCTCGGTTATAACATTCTAAGTAAGGCATACTCTCGGATATCACATTCTAAGTAAGGCATACTCTCGGTTATAACATTCTTACTAAGGCATACTCTCGGTTAGAACATTCTAAATAAGCCATACTCTCGGTTATAACATTCTAAGTAAGGCATACTCTCGGTTATAACATTCTTACTAAGGCCTACGTTCGGTTAAAACATTCTAAGAAATTTATTTAATCAAAAGCATATTTTTTTCACTAAATAATCAATTTCAGGGAAACTGATGATGGTATCTGATTGCTTTTAATCATTTCACAGTATTTTGTTTGTTTGCAAGTTATATCTTCCTTTAGGGTGAATTTGACATCTCATAGAATATCGCCTTTTGTGTTTTTGCTGTTCTCTGTGTCCTGCGAATCGAACATATCCCCTTTTGACGTCATTTGTTAGATTCAAGAACTTCACTGGAAACCTGACTAGTTAGACCTGATATTTGTTTAAATAACTGCTATATTATTTATCATGTATATTATTTTTTAAATTAAAATGATTTAATCTTACTTCTAGTTTCTGTACGCAACTTCTCCTGTGCGTCATTGCATCGAGCTTAAACAGGTCTAAAACAAGTGCTGAAGGGCTCGGGTAATACATTGAAAACTGAATATGGAGATTGGAGGATGCCAACTCTTGTCTTTAACAATTTTTTTTTTTTATATAAATAATGACATAATAGGGTTTAATACGTGCATGCTTTTCAGTGACGCTTTCGAGGAGACTAAGCTAGTACGAAGTGCCTCCATGCTGGGCATGTTACATTAATTACCTCTCCTTCAGCACACTGTATATAGGTGTCACAGAACTCCAGGCGAGACACGAATGAACAGGAGAAACACTGGGGACCATCACCGTGGACTGTCACGTAAAGGAATACAATATACGGTAAAAGTTCACGGTGATACGATAATACTTCATCTTTGTTACTTTGTCCCCAAATGATTTAGACACTTCAGTTGGTCTTGAGACAAATTTGGCAAAATACCATGCCTTCTGGGAGTGCCTGTCCACATGCGAAACATTATCAAATTATCGAGTGAGTTTTCGCCCTGTACTAAAAGTAAAATGACAGACGACCCTACATCAAAATCTATAGTTATTTTGTGGTTGCTTGTAAATAGCTTACATTAATGTGTTCATTATTTGTTAACATTACATAACGATGACCCAAAATGTGTTGCAATTATGTTTTAGTTAAAATGCAAAACCCGAATAAAATAAAACTGCTCGGTGTTTTCAACTTTAATACAAACATTCTTCCAGCTTACTAACAGAATCGTAATTTGGTAATTTTCCTTGGAATCGCTATGGTCCTATACGAGGCACTGCAAAAACGTGTTTACAGGTATGCGTTTTCGACCTTCTGTCTTCCACTTACCTAGAAATACTGTATTAAAGAGGACTGCGGCCACTGGAAACAACAACATCACTGTGAAATAGAATGATAAAACATGTCAATATGTACATGTATATAAAACCTTCTAACTTACCAAAGTATAATACCAAAAACTATTACATGTAAATATTCACAATTATAAACTAATTAGATATTTCTGTTATTCTGTTCTAATAATCAAGTCGTGACGTCAAATACAAACTTCAAACAAAGCTCCAAAATGATTTCTGACTGAAGTTTGTCGTCTTGCAGAAATATGGAAATTTGGAATACAAAACACGACTTTCACCGCGGAATACAAAACACGACTTTTACCGCGGAATACAAAACACGACTTTTACCGCGGAAAACAAAACACGACTTTTACCCCGGATTACAAAGCACGACTTTTACCGCGGAATACAAAACACGACTTTTACCGCGGAATATAAAACACGACTTTTACCCCGGAATACAAAGCACGACTTTTACCGCGGAATACAAAACACAATTTTTACCGCGGAATACAAAACACGACTTTTACCCCGCAATACAAAGCACGACTTTTACCGCGGAATACAAAACACGACTTTTACCGCGGAATATAAAACACGACTTTTACCCCGGAATACAAAGCACGACTTTTACCGCGGAATACAAAACACGATTTTACCGCGGAATACAAAACACGACTTTACCGCGGAATACAAAACACGACTTTTACCGCGGAACACAAAACACGACTTTTCCCCCCAAAGAAATATCAATATTTGTTCAGCCAAAAGTAACCACACAGAAGGATAGAACAGAATTCTCCTCATAGCTTTTATCTTGTATAGAAACATTGAAATACACATTGCTAATATTGATGAAGGTATGAGACACTTTTGCTTACATATATATTCTCTAACGTGCGTTACCATGCGTCATGTTTGTAAGCGATTGTGATTCGTACCAAATAAATGTTAAAGATGTGCAGACTAAGATGTTACATCATACACGAGAACAAATATATGCAAATTTCCGATTAAATCAAATAATAAAAAGAAGAACCAATATTACCTTAACCGTATGTGTTGTTGTAAAAGCATACATAAGAGTATGTTTGTATATAACATGTTATATCTACTCTAGCATACGGACATGTAGTAGTGAATTTTAGTCTGTTAAAAATGTCGATCATGATGGTTGGGCACAACTTACAACATCTTGTAAATCCCTCGCGTCAACAGTTACAAACCACACAGAACGTCAGAACACATACATAGTTACAGAAGATACGTTCAATAATACTGTTACTAGTGTTAGGAATCCCATGTATGATGTTTATAATTTGATCTATCACCATCCCTCGGAGTATTCCCCCTTAGCAGAAACACACTTTCGCAATCGCGCTATCTATGACATAAACGCTGTGTGGTGGTCACTCTTTGGCACCCTGGCGCGACACTAATTTTCGTTAGTAAAAAGAGAAGTCATGGGGACATAAATCTGGTGAATATGGTGGTTTGTCAATCTGTACTACTTTCTCTTTGACTTTTTTTCATGTAGAATCTTTTGACAAGCTTCAGTATTTTGTCTCTTAAAATTTGGCGGTGATCGTGTTTCCTTCCTTGCACGCTATCTGAATCACAGGTCTAGAGTTGAGCAAAGGCATATAAAACATTCTTGACAATTTATATAAGTCTTGTTATAACTATCCTTTCTTGATTTCTCGACTCTCATTGCTTGTTATTAATGCGCCTCTGTGGTTCAAAGTAAAAGACCCAGGTCTCATCCAATGTAAGTAACTCAGATAGCTTTCTTGAGTAGCAATTATCGTACTTTTTTCAATATATTTTAAGCGTATTGGTCTTTTGATCAAATGTCGGCAAATGGGGAATCCATTGGGCTCAAAGCTTCTTTAATTTCCAACACTTGGTCAGAATGTGATGCCTTCTGAAATGCCAACCATATGAGCTATCTCAGAAACAGTATAACAACCATCATCCCTGATTATATCTTTCATAGAAGCAATGTTCTTCTTTGTTGCTGCAACCAGTGGCCTGCCTGGCCGTGTGTCCTCTTTGAAGCCAACTTTACCATGATTGACGTCGTACACCCACCACCTGAAAACAGTTCTCAATGTGACGGCAGAGGTGCCTGTTAAATGCTGCACAACTCTGCATGTATCTGTTTTGGCTGTATCTGTTAATCATGCCATACTTTAATATATTAGCGTATTTCAGAATAAGTCTCAACTTTCATTTTAACAGTGAAAAGTAGCTAGTAGTCCTGTGCGCAAACAAATGAATAACTTTTTCAATTCTTGTCGGATTATGTAGGAATTTTGCGCTTGCACTGTTCTTAAAATGTTTTGTAGTCTGCCAAGACTTAAAACTATTTAATTGCCCGTTCGTGTGTGGTGACAGAATTTATTGAAATTCCTCGTACATAGCCTAATTGGAAAATCGTCAGAAATTGAGAAATAGGAAGTGCAAGAAATGACAAACGTATATAACATATAAATACAATTTAAGAAGATTTTTTTTTCAAAGAACTGACTTGCACAAACTAGCTTCACACTCCTTTGAGATGTCAATAATGCACCATCCGATTGTCCCTCTGTAGAACAAATCGGTTACTTCGTGTTGTAGTTACAATAACAACACGTATGTTCTCTCGTATGAAGTAATACAGCGTTTTACAATAACAAAAAACAAGTCACTTCAACACTTGGTAAGGTGATAGCGATTCATGCTTATTTTCATCAGATAACAATTCTTATATTATGTAAATATTTATAGGATCTTAGCTAAAATTAGAGTAACATTGTACCTACTTGTTTAACATCCACACGACGAAAGTATTATTCTGTGTTGTGTGGTATGTATAAACAGATAAGGGCTATTACCGCAATGATGGCTTCCGAGTTAAGAACCATCGATGAAAACATGACAGCTGGTCGCCTTTGTGTGTACTATGGAATGGTGAGTGTCCAGTTTAAGATACATCTGGTAGTCCTTATCTTCTTACGTCAGGTGTTCACGGCTTTTTATTCAAGCTATAAGCTACATAGGTAACCAGTGCTGAGATAAGGGGCACATTGGGGCCACAGCATTTATATCATGATACCGTTATATGGAACTAGACTAGAACAATACTAGATGAAGTTAGGGCGACTCTTTTGTAGCATTTTGTATAAACATTGCGCGAGTTCGAGACATAAAACTTTGTTGTTTTCATGTTGCAAAATTAAATATCGTTTTTTCGTCTTTTTGTTTTGTTGACCGGTAAGACTAGCTTTAAGTGACACAAGACATCATATGTAACAAAGACATACGTGAATTTACCGCCTGATAATGTACTAGATTTCCGTCGACATATTTACGAGTTTTACCTCAGCTAACTGCTTTTACCGGCTCATTCAATTTTGAATCTCGTTTCCAACTTTGAGGATGTGACATTGTGCTAGATTTGCCTGCAGGCGGGTGTCGTCGATGAAGCACACTACCCAAAGAAGCTTGTCGTTTTAAAATACAAAGAACTCCACGTAAATATATTATTTGTTCTTACAGTTGTGTAGTGCCTTAGTTTGTTCGATTTTAAGCTCGCAGTTGTTGACATTTCGGTATTCTCTTGTTTCTTCCTTTTCATGTTTCCCTTCGTTGTTTCTAAAATATATATTTTCTGTAATGGCGGCCATTGATTTATACATTTGTAAAAGTGGAGATAATTCGGATACTGAACATTCGATATTTACGATTGACAGTTCACCACGTTTCGTCGCCCATTTTGTTGTTTTCACATTCGGAACCTAGCTACGTAACCGGAAGTGTTCCGAGTAGCTTTTGCGCGACTATTGCACGTGCAAAGTGCCGTGTGTTTGTTTGTTTGTTTGTTTGTTTATGTTTAACGGCCCATCGACGGCTGTGGTCATTTAGGGCCATGGTGATTTATTTATTTATTTTACTTTTTTAACAAACATGTGAATAGCGAAGATAAAATCAGATAAAATGGTTCATTTTAAAAGTATTCGCATTGTATGTGTAGATAATTAAAAATAATAAAAGGGGGTTAAAATAATAAAAGAGATAACGAATAGATGATATGGAATATGCGATATATATATAACGTCAAAAAGGATAAGGTGGGTTAAAAGACATCAGAGTCTATAAAATAGACCGATGTCTTTCAAATAGTTAAATAATGCCTTCGAATCCACGGAACTGAAAAGTGTTTTCATATCCGGGACTCGGAAGTAGTTATCACGAATGTGTTTAAAATCGGAACATTCTATTAAAAAATGCTCCACTGTAAATGGAGTGTCACATGCGTGGCATGAAGGTATATCTTCTCGTTTTAAAAGGTACGAATGAGTAGGATATGTGTGCCCAGTGCGGAGCCGAGCGAGGACAACTTCCTCTCTACGATCTTTCCGACTGGGAATAGATGTTTTAAGTTTCGGTTGTATCTTAAAAAGTTTGTTGTTGGTCTCCAGAGACCAGCGTTTCTGCCATTCATTTTGAATGGCTGTACGAATAGTAGGTTTAAAATCTGTGTATGGTAGTTTGATATTTGTTTGTTCGAGATTCAATGCATTTTTTGCTTCCCTGTCAGCAAATTCGTTGCCTTTTATTCCGACATGGCTCGGAATCCATAGTAAAGTTATTTTAGACTTTTTTAATATACGAGATATTCGATGAGCAAGGTTTTGTACGATTGTGTTTTTAGGATCTCGTAACTGTAAACTCTGTAGGACAGATAGAGAGTCTGAACAAATAATTGCCTTTTTAATGCGGTGTTCATCGATATGGTCGAGGGCCAAACCAATGGCGCATGCTTCAGCAGAAAAGATGGAGGCGCCGTCTGGTAGTCGGACTGAAGTGCAAGTATTGGCAGTACAGCAGGCTGCTGCCACTTTCTCACCTTCTTTGGAGCCATCGGTGTAAAGTTGTGTATGAGAAGGGTAATTCGAAATGCATTCCCGAAAGGAGGATTTGTGTTCTTCGGGCATAACACTTGATTTCCCTCGCTCATGTAATGTAAAGTTAAAATCGGGGGTTTGAATGGTCCACGGAGGAACATCAGATATGTTAAATTCAGCTATGTCCGTCAATTTTATGTTGAGTTCTTGCAGGAAATTCAAAATTCGGATACCAAATGTTGGCAGAAGTTTTTGGTTTTGCGTAAATATGTTTTGGTATTTGGGGTTGAATACTTGGTTGAAAGCAGGATTTTTAGGGTTTGATTTTAATTGAGTTGCAAATTGTAATGAAAGTTTTATTCTTCTGTCATAAAGGGATGGTTCATTTGCTTCCACGTACAGGCTTTTTACAGGTGTTGTTCGAAAAGCTCCCAGGGCAAGACGTAGCCCTTGGTTATGGATTGGATCTAGCATCTGAAGGTACGAACTGCGCGCTGACCCGTATACCATAGAACCATAATCCAGTTTTGTTCGAATAAGTGATCTGTATAGGCGCAAAAGCATTTCACGATCCGCTCCCCAATCAGTATGAGAAAGGACTCGTATAATGTTTAACGCCTTGGAACACTTATCCTTCAGATACTTTATATGTGGTATGAAAGAGAGTTTCGAATCAAAAATGAGGCCGAGAAATTTAGTCTGTTCAACAACAGGAATTCTAGTGCCATCGAGTGTTAGATTTGGGTCATTGTGTGCTTTTCGTTTTTGACAGAAATGCATGCACACAGTTTTGGATTTAGAGAATTTGAAGCCGTTTTCGTCTGCCCAATTTTGTAGTTTGTTTAAACTCTGTTGAAGTTGTCGTTCTATCGTGTGCATGTTCTTAGATCTGTAACAGATCAAGAAGTCATCCACAAATAACGACCCTTCTGTTGATTGACCAAGACATTTGACTATATCATTNAACTGATTTCAAGAAATAGTGAGAGCCTTACTCTCTAAATAATTGGAATCAAGTACTGTTGTAACCTGCTAGTTACATGTACACAAAATCACATTCCGTCAAAAAAGGCCTGATGACATATGTTTATTTTCTCTGATTATCAAAAGTAAATATCTATACTTCAGTTGTTATTAGGTACCTGATTCGGACACAGTCGAGAAAGTGAATATTTCGAATTGACTCTGCGGTGGTCGGGTGGGGGATCATCTGCCCGACCACGCGGGTTTTCTCCGTGTAATCCTAATTCTTCCCATTTTGAAAATTCCTGCGCACTAACATCAGAGCAAACAAGACTGATTAATATAAGTTGAAATAACTTGTTTCGTAATAAAATTTATATAATATTTTCTGTAATGATGGGCATTATTTTGCATATTAATGTTAATGATATTGATATTACATGTACGACAGAAAATAATTAAAGACAATACGTAAAATTTGTTTTGTTTATCCTTGGTCGTTGGCGGGTAAAGGTTTCTCCCCTTAAGGACTCGTCCCACATTGTTCATGTACAACAACCATAAACGGAAATCCTTATCCATCCCCGATATTACAAGTACATATCATATTTGTCACCTTGTCCTTTTCTTTGTTTGCCATTGTCAAAGTTTATAGAAAGTTTCATCTTTGTTTTTATTTGCATTACATCATCAAAAACAGATTATCGATTTCATGACGAGTGCCTCATGTCGCTTACCTATAATGGAAACTTTCAGTGACACTTGTTCTGTCTTCATTGCTTACACTTCCGGGACACCTGTTCTGTCTTCATCGATTATACTTCCGGGACACCTGTTCTGTCTTCATCTATTATACCTCCGGGACACCTATTCTGTCTTCATCGCTTATACTTCCGGGACACCTATTCTGTCTTCATCGCTTATTCTTCCGGGACACATGTTCTGTGTTCATCGCTTAGACTTCCGGGACGCCTGTTCTGTCTTCATCGCTTATACTTCCGGGACACCTGTTCTGTCTTCATCGCTTACACTTCCGGGACACCTGTTCTGTGTCCATCGCTTACACTTCCGGGACACATTTTCTGTCGCTTACACTTCTGGGACACATTTCTTCATCTTTCAATTTGTGTGCGTTTAAAGTGGTCATTGTTGTTTCCTTGATTCCTTATGTTTATGTTTTGTGTCAACTCTAAATTTTCCATGTGCTATCTGAGTTGGTATTATACAAGCTTCATTTACATGTTTGAATAAAATAAAAATAAAAACTTTTTTAGTTAAAAACTTTATTTGAGTATTTTTAAAATGCTTTTGTTTATTATAATCACATACATGTAATTTTGTAGCACTTTATAGACAAAGCATAGGTATGACAGTATTGGTACACTGTACATGGATAACATACACTGCGCCATACAGTTCAAACAAAATCTATCGTCTCTCGGGCAATATAACAACGTCTTAAGTCACAGAGAAAAGCAACCGTCTCTGACAATAGTACAGCGTCTTCAGACATAAAAACTACAGTCTCTTTGTCGATAGAACGCTGTCTTAGGACATAAACAAAAGCAATCGTCTCTTTAACAATAGAACAGCATCGTAAAAGCAATCGTCTCTCGAAAAAAATCCCACATATGGCGCAAACAAATCAATCGTTTGTCAGTCAAAAAATCAGTTATTCTTAGAAAACTATTTCCTGTTTTGACATAAATTTTATACTGGAATCTGAGCTACAACAATTGGCTTTCACCGCTACTAACCTGTTGGCTATGCATACATATCAAAACTTCTCTTAGTATACACGTACGCTGTAAGTTATATGGAGCTATACAAATGTATATTGAATCTCACTGAAACAATCAACAATCCACATACTTTACGATAAATACAGAATATGTAACCCTGTATATAGTATATATAATCCTGTAGACAGTATATATAACCATGTAGACAGTATATATAACCCTGTAAACAGTATATATATTCATGTATACAGTATGTATAACCATATAGACAGTATATATAACCCTGTATATAAACATGTATACAGAATATATAACGTTGTATACATAATATATAACCCTGTATATAGTACATATAAACATGTATGCATAATATATAACCCTGTATATAGTATATATAACCCTGTATATAGTATGTATAAACATGTAGACAGTATATAAACACCTGTAGACAGTATATATAACCATGTAGACAGTGTGTATAACCCTGTATACAGTATGTATAACCATGTAGACAGTATATAAACACCTGAAGACAGTATATATAACCATGTAGACAGTGTGTATAACCCTGTATACAGAATATATAACCATGTAGACAGTATATAAACACCTGTAGACAGTATATATAACCATGTAGACAGTATATATAACCATGTATACAGTATGTATAACCATGTAGACAGTATATAAACACTTGTAGACTGTATATATAACCATGTAGACAGTGTGTATAACCCTGTATACAGAATATATAACGCTGTATACAGAATATTTAACCCTGTAGACAGTATATATAACCCTGTAGACAGTATATATAACCATGTAGACAGTGTGTATAACCCTGTATACAGAATATATAACCATGTAGACAGTATATAAACACCTGTAGACAGTATATATATCCATGTAGACAGTATATATAACCCTGGAGACAGTATATATAACCCTGTAGACAGTATATATGACCCTGTAGACAGTATATATAAACATGTAGACGGTATATATAATCCTGTAGACAGTATATATAACCCTGTATACAGTATACATAGCCATGTAGACAGTATATATAACCATTTAGACAGTATATATAACCATGTAGACAGTATATAAACACCTGAAGACAGTATATATAACCATGTAGACAGTATATATAACCCTGTAGACAGTATATATAACCCTGTAGACAGTGGATATAACCATGTATACAGAATAGTGCTCATACTGTCATCACACATTCCGAAGTATTTCATTATCTACAATATAAACATAATGTTTATTTCCTTAGCTTTATTAGCATACGTCAGCAAAATATATGTCAACCTTACACTGTCAAATTCAAACAAGAAGAAACTCAAAACATGATAGCCCTTTTTCAACTATGTTGACATCATTGTACCCGCCACACTTGTTCGGCCTAAGTTTTCGGCAAGCACATTGAAAATCAATACAGGATTATCATTGGTTATATTTTATAAAAAATATAATATGAAATGGAACAATTGAAGGTAGGTAATACAAATAATAGCACACCTAAGTGTATCTGTATCTGACGTTATAAACAGCGCTCGATTTTTGCGAGGACGGACACATCTACTAGAGTGATGCCTACGCACACCGGTGGATGTATTCATCCGCACAAAAAAGTCGTGCTGACTATAACGTCAGATAAAATATACTTTTGTATATAAGGTAAATATAAAGTGTGTATAGCTTAAGTTTATATGCAATAGAGAAAAGAAGATATCAAAACCATTCAATTGATATGGCATCAAACACATTCTTTGACATCAATTTTTTTGCGTATGTCGCAAAAACCAAGTTGGATATTACTTACTTATCATTTTATGTTAATAACATGTGTTCATTTTAATTGGTTTCGTTTGAGTTTTTTGGGGGGTTTTGCGCGGTCGAAATAATTCCATTAAAAATGAAACCATTGAAATATTTGTCATTTCGAGGAACCACTTAAGGAAATCATCATACTACACACGAAAAGACGCGAAAATTTAATTCCGCAAAAATCGGGACCAACGAAAAACGTAAGCTCAATAGTATTATACAATGTGATGTGACTAAGTTAACCCTGTACAACCCGAACTTTAAAAAGATGTCAACGAGTTCCGCTGTAAACAATTAAGCATGTATGAACAATGAAGACAAATACAGTCTATTTTTGGAAGTACAGTCGTTTTTAACATGGATATATCACGTGCAAACACACACTCACACGTGTAGATGATTTACACAAGCATGTGGTAAAATATGAGTGAAAAACAGACGAGCAATGATGAACGTGAACATGGCATTGGAGGGGCATACTCATTGACATACTAATATCAAACAGTCGAAGGTGTCTTAGTACAATTATATACATTTATCACAAGTTAGAGAAAATGTCGCTATCACTGAATCTTTGTCAGCGAAATGACGTCACATGGCAGTGACGTATACCGTGACGTCATTTACTCAGAAACACACCATACATACATATCTTAATACACTTGACGTATCATGTGATACTACTCACGTGCCAATAACACGTGACATATGTCTGTTTTGTCAGAACACATACAAGACATGTGAGTTTTGAAGGTCACAATACATATTAACCTTTTTAGGTAATAAACTACTGCACAATAGTTGTTGCCTATCACTTTACAGTCGGACGTCGTAAGTCTAGGGTCCGTTTACACGAAAAACTGGCAATCCGGACACTCATTGTTTAGAACAAATTTCTGAAGCAATTACTCACAACGTTCATCCGGAGATTCGCTTTCTGGACCAAGAAAAGTAAAATCGGATACATATGGAAAATTTCCATAAAACATAATCTCCAATCAGGATATTCTGTTCAGGTGTCAAAATGCTTATTGCAAAATGGTAGGCCATCTTTCACAGACCAATGACAACGTAAACTTCTGTAACACCCGTGTGAATGGTCATTTCCAATATTGACATGAAATAAACGAAACTCCTGATCAATAAATGTCATGTTTATCCAAAAACCAAAGTGTCTAAATGAAAAAGTCACGACTGTACTGTTATGTGGTTAGCTATGTTGCTATGTGGGTAGCTATGTTGCAATGTGGTTAGCTATGTTGCTATGTATTTAGCTATGCTGTTATGTGGTTAGCTATAATGGATGTTGCTATGTGGTTAGCTATAATGGATGTTGCTATGTGGTTAGCTATGTTGCTACATTGTATGTGGTTAGCTATGTTGCTATGTGGTTAGCTATGTTGCTTTGTATTTAGCTATGTTGCTATGTGATTAGCTATGTTGCTATGTATGTAGCTGTGTTGTTATGTGGTTAGCTATGTTGCTATGTGGTTAGCTATGATGCTATGTGGTTAGCTATGATGCTGTGTATTTAGCTATGTATTTAGCTATGCTGCTATGTGGTTAGCTATGATGCTATGTGGTTAGCTATGTTGCTATGTGGTTAGCTATGATGCTATGTATTATGCTATGTATTTAGCTATGTTGCTATTTGGTTAGCTATGTTGCTATGTGGTTAGCTATGTGGTTAGCTATGTTGCTATGTGGTTAGCTTTGTATTTATCTATGTTGCTATGTGTTCAGTTGTTAGTTATATGAGCCGTACTGTTAAATTGTTAAGCTGTTGTTGCAACAAAAACACTGATACAGAATAACATATACAAGTCTGACAAGACCCAAGGCAAAGGCTATATACAATGTGTATGTACAATGTCAGGTTCTATACACAGAAACACAAGAAAGTCTTTCTTGCATAGTCACAACCAATATCCACGATTGTTTCAACATTTGGTTGTTATCAAGGAAACCTCCTCAATGAAAAATATATTTTGAAAACTTATTACTGTTCAGTTTCCGAATCTTCTCTGAATTTCACTTCTGTACAGTTTCAAACATTCATAAATATTTGCACTAACAACACTTTCAAAGTGTCTGTACATATGCAGGCGTATCCGATACATGCTCTACACGTCAACAGCTCTTGCCATCTACGTCACCAGTTTTCGATGAAACGTCTTACACTCACATCCGCTAATGAATGTCACTACGGCCAGTTGCACAAAACGTCATGGCTTAGAAGGGAGCGTGGGTCGATGTACTGTACGCATGGCATCTATTGCTGACCTATTTTTTTTTTTATCAACACAATATACGGTAATATAAGAAGTATTCAATGCACAAAATGTGACGAAGTCCATCACAAAATTTGAGGTATTATGAGACATAATTTGGGTTATATTCATGGTGATTATTTGTTCCGGCTGAAGAACATACTTTAATATCCACTGTTCTTAATTAATACATCCCAATCTGTTCGTCTCAACAATAGTGTCGAATGTACTATCAACTTTGACAATGATCTGCACCTTTCTTTTATCACGCCATATTTTTTATTTTGCATCCGTGATAAATGTGACGTGTTGCTGACGTCATAGCCCTCAAACAAATCCAGCTTCAAGACACGATTCACAACACAGCTCTTTGTAGTATTTATATTTACAAAGCGTCGTCTTCAGAACCATGATGCAATGCGAGTATTTATCCTTGCATTCTGTTAAAAAATAAAACAAAAATAAAACACATAATCTAATATATATTTAACGAATTCCCGTTTGCACTTGTGATATATCGCACACAAACGTGCCTCGTGCTTTACCGAAAGTTTTCCTTGTGTTTTAGTAAAACATGGAGCTTACTCCGATATCGTATTTAGTCAGATATCCGGAAAAATATTTTATCTGCATTATCTAGAGTATATATTATACTTCCGTCTTTACCATAGATATTATGCTTAACTGTAATTGCTCGTTCGATCACGTGGCTATACTTCAGTATAATAACACTAACATCTAAATATTATATATACATGTATGCATGAACATTTCTTGCAATCACATTGGTCGGATCCCATACATGTTCGGCCTCTATGAATATTGCTCAGGCCAGGTTCATAAATCAGGGATAGACCTCACCTGAAGTCCATAATTGTATAATAGTTAACGTGTAATAACACCAATCGTGACGTCACAAGTAACAAAGGAATGACGTCTTGAGTTCAAGTTTGAAGACAAGTGACCCTAGTCATATAAGTAAAACTTAAGTCCATCTCCATGTACAATATGATGTTATCATTTTAAATGACTTTAATTATGTACAAGTAAAGGGATCTGGTATGATAACCTCTATGTCTGAACATTTGAAATTTGACGCATGCGTACCTTGCTGTTCCTGAGGAGGAGGAATATTACACGTATCGGTGTTGCAAGGCTCCGTTGTTTCCGGTTGAAGGGTTGGATCACATCCGCCTACAAGTCTGTAGTTTGCGTCTAAACACCGGACTTCTCTTGAGCGTACGCCCCTTCCGCAAGTTACAGAGCACTGATTTCAAAAGAAATGACGTCAAATATTACAGGTATTTCGTAAATAAACAGTTTAAAAAATGCATAAGCCTCAATTTGAATTGCTGATTCCATTGTTTCCGTTTTGGCTAAAATAAACTACACACGCCCGTAATTGTCATGGAGTTTAATATGACAATCCGACATCGCAGTAAATACACCAAATACAGCAACGTTTAAACTGAACCAATACCTGGCATAACATTTTAGCAAATATACCCGTATGACTGTAGATAACTGAATGACCCACCCCTGAGGACGCTATTTCTGTTGACCGAGAGTCGTTAAATGGACGACTGAAAATAATATTTACATTTGTTAAGATACTGGCTATTTCAATAAAACGGGTAAAATTTGCTTTGATGGATAATTTCATAGTTCTTATCCTACAGTACATTTACTAGGAGCATATCGATGCTTTCTTAAACATCTAAGTTGATAATCACTTCATGGACTTACGTTTGAATTACACTACTACGTGTAAGTAAGAATGTGACGTCATTGTGGTCGAAGCAATACCCATTGTTTCGAATCAATATTTAGCCGTAAGATAATACTGCTTTGAATGGAAAGTACATTGAGTATGTTGTAATCAATTCCCGATATAAGAAACGGAGGTAAAATACATCGAAAGGTTTAAACTGTTTCCCTGCCCAAACATCACTTCAAATTCAACATCGCGCACCATGAACCTGGCCTTTGTTGACGTACCTGTCCCCATTCTGATATAAACCACTCTGGTCTACACCGGGTCAGCTGACAGGAAGTAGTAGTGTCGGGCTTGTCTTCTGAATTACAATAATAGTCGGAAATTACATTCGCCATCCCATTGGTGTTTTTGCGCACGCACAGAACTGACCGAGTTTGACTTCCGGTTCCACAGGTGACGTTACACTTGAAAATAAAGATGTCAATAAGTAGTAAAAAATATCACATGGATGTATATACATTTTAATTATCACACGAATAATATTATTGCGTCCTTAGATTCACCTTGAAAGTGACTACATTTATTGTACAATTCCAAATAATGAAGAAGTATGACATTTTCTACTGGCTTTCAATATATACAATATTTTCTTTAAAAAAGAATAGTTCAATGACATTTTCATCACCTCCACATATAGAATGGTAAGTATATGACGTCATTCTACGTCTGTTATAAATAGATATATACCTTGTTCCATGGGCCAGTAAACCAGTAGGCCCCACACTGGCCCCTGGTCGTGCAGGATTTGGAGACGGAAGGCTTCATGGAGACAGAACACGATTGTTCCGAGGTGGCATAACCGTCCCGCCTCAGACAAGCGATCTTCCGGTTCTGTGCGCCGTCCCCACAATCTACTGGACACTGGGCGGAAGTAGATAGCATGGGTTAGGCTATTAGTTGATAAATATCAAACAGGTCTACACGAGACTTAAGGTTAGTCAATAGGTTAGTAAAGATCAAACTGGATGGAAGTACACGAATGTTGACAATCTATATATACAATATATACAATGTAAGTAATTTTTTACCTTCAGGGTCGAGATACTATATACATCTGACTCCATATTTGATGTATTTGATAATATTTTCGCAAAGTAACATGTTTTAAGGTTGAATTATTTGCCATAGTTGTACGACTATTTCTTATATTTTTACCGGTAAAATATAAAGGTTTTTGCATTGAAAATAAATTCCTAGTTTTTCCCCGCTGCGACTAATGGTACTTTTGGTTATTGTCACACTAAACTGACCAATCAGAAATCAGCCTTTAGTGCGAAAGTAACAAACAACGAGCACATACCATTGTATCGTCAGTTAGGCCCTGCGACTCGTGGGTCGATTTGTGTTTTTTCTATTCGTTTTCACTTGGTCATACATGTTGAATTAATTGCCATGTATACCGGTATATGGCCAGTTGTCAAAGCCTGGTAAGGAAGTTCCATGAAATCGTTCAGATATTCATGTTCGTCAGACATTTTTTAAAATATTTCATATAAATGAGGAATTTATTTATTTTTATCATTATTTGTATTCCATACCCTTTAATAAATTGTGTAATGGCCGATCAATTTGCAATAAAGTTTGCCATTTGGGCCAAACGAATAGCGTAGAACCTGGTATACTAAAAGCCTCTTCATACAGTACCATTTGAAAACTGAAATATTGTCGTTAGAGAGGAAGACGCATGTTAAAAATTTGTTCAGTAGAAAAACAGGGTGCTTTTTGTTTGGTAAACGTTGCGGCAAAAGAAACGGATGACTCCATATTTGGGTTTTACCATTTTTACATAAACGTTCTTACCTCTGAGCTCCTCTGTGTGTAAGACAAGTTAGTGTCCGAGCTGTCTCCCACAGAACATGTTATACAGTCTGACTCGGTACAGGTTTATCTGTACTTACCTCTGAGCTCCACTGTGTGTACTACCAGTTAGTGTCCGAGCTGTCTCCCACAGGAACATGTTATACAGTCTGACTCGGTACAGGTTTATCTGTACTTACCTCTGAGCTCCACTGTGTGTAGTACCAGTTAGTATCCGAGCTGTCTCCCACAGGAACATGTTATACAGTCTGATTCGGTACAAGTTTATCAGTAATTACCTCTGAGCTCCACTGTGTGTAGTACCAGTTTGTGTCGGAGCTGTCTCCCACTGGAACATTATTATTATAACAGTCTGACTCGGAACAGCTTGTCGAGGACACGGGTCTTGAACTACGGCCGCACGCGCTTTCCACTACCGCTCGGCCACTCATGGTCACACAGTTGACTGGTCTCGTTCGCATCCCTGACCCACAGGAAGTGGAGCACTGAGAAAAATAATGAAATATATAGAAATGAAATATATTTCATGGACCGTATCTTTTTCGACAACGTGTGCGTACAACTGACGGTATATCTAAGCATCCGACTCCACTTGTTACAATGTAAAATGTAAAATAGTCTCGCTTCGTATCAAAGTTGACATTCCGACTTGTACCCTCCATTATTTTAAGATACAAAATAAACCGTGAATGAATAATCTCGTGGCCGAGTAATCATCTTTCATTTTGAAACTGTGCATTTACAAGTCTTTGAAAACAACGTTAGAGAATTGTCGGACTGGCATTGAATAGGTACAGAACTCGAACACTGGAATTTCTGTTTTCCTTTTATATAATTTTATTTATGTTTCAAAATATTCGAAATTGAAACAACTTTAATCATCCAAAAATAATCACAGCGGAATAATCAAATATCATGCAATAGTGCAACCGGAAGTAATGAATTAGAAAATATGGTATTCTTAACCTTATCTGGATTCTCAATTTTTGAGTGTGAAAGAAACATCCAAACCTATTTTACACTTTTTGCAACATTTTATTACTCTCACAGAACCGGTCCAGTAAACCGTAGTTATTACCATAAGAAACAATTATCTAACTATAATTTCAACAATACTTGAGAGAAAGAGACGTTTCAACTAGTTTTAATTACTAGCCGTTAATATTGAGAAAGGATTTCATACAATAATTTAAGATCAATAAAGATTTCTTAAATTTTCTGGGACGATACAACAATCACAGTACCGCGATCAAGTTTTGTGAAAATTGGTTGAAATATTTCTTATTGTACAATCTAAAATTAGGAAACTACTTTAGTACAAGGTTGGACTGTTGTTCCCTGAAAATCAAGACATTTATCCACTGTCCAATGACGTAACATAGCAACAGATAAGCCTTGACCACTGTTCATACAAATGTCCCGTATTTTACCCTTGACCACTGTCCAGTGCTCCACTGATAGCATTCCTCATCCCTGCAACTTTGGATAGCATCCGGTTTAGCGGAGTATGCACAGTTCTCTGGGCTGACCTCAATGACAGTGTTCATGTCGACATACTTGACACACCGGACGTGACGTCTTTGACTCCCCGATCCACACGTAACACTACACGATGACCAATCAGAAGCTTCCCATCTTGCAGGGCTGTAGAAAAGTTGTATCGTCAAAAACAAATGCAGATTTTTGTTTTAAAAATGAAAAAGTTGTGATTTCAATTTTCATGCTTATTGCATTTATTATCTTTTGAAGAAGTATCAATCTTGAATTTATAGCTTTGTTAAGGTCGCTTTTAAATAAAGTATGGCTGTTCTAAGCTAAGTTAAATGAGACGTTTCAACTATTCATCACAAATGTGTCTCGTAAAGTATTTAATTGATCTTATTATAAATCTAACCATTCGGATATGGAAGGGTCAGATCAAATTGTTCGTGTTAAACAGGAATACTTGTGCTCTCTGCAACCCCGAGAATTCATCTGGACAAAGGAACACGCCTTCCAGCGTCATATCCTCCGTACGTTTCAGCGTACACTCACCGATCGTCCGGACACATCTGAACGTTGCATGGAACGGCGTCCCGACTTGGTAACGGAATATTCCGACACTTGGATCGTCGGACAGGCGTACCAAAGACGGCACATATAATGTCTGGTCTCTGGTAGCCTAGAATTGAGATAACAGACTCAGTTTGTCAAAGGTGCCAATTCCGTCTTTACGTATTGCAGAGTTATCTTATCTTGGGAACAGGGATTGATTGTTACGTCACTTGTTTGTGAGAGAACCGTCATCAATTTTTGAGAAAACGACGTAATTTTCTCACACAGACCAATGACGTAACAATCAAACCTGCTCCCAAGAGAAGATAACTCTGCAATACGTTAAGACGGAATAACATATCTAAGGTAACTACATGTACCCAGGTTTACCAATCAGACAACAGAGCTGTGCCACATAAAAGTGTGTGTCACTATTTCGGACCATACACAAGAAATACAAATGAAATAGCACATGGGTTTTTTCGATGTGCGTGTAAGTGCTTTGTGGCTTTACATGGCAGCCACGCGTCTGTTCTTTTATATCTTAAAACTAAATCAATTTGTAAATGTGTAGGACTACAAATCATATTTAAAAATTATGTCTTTACCACCTGAATGTTTACAACATTTTGAATATTTTTTTTCATTGACTTCTTAAATTTGAACCCGAAATGAGATTTTCCGGATACAAATAGCTAGGCTCACCTGTCCCACAGGATCGACTACACTCCGTGTAGCCAACGGTCCGCCACTGATACCGTCCGGATATTGTTTCGCCCGAACCGGAGACGTACACGGACTCCTCCGGATTTACAACAATGATATTATCATTTGTACCAACAGTATCGGCCAGGGGTGTATTCACAAAATCACCGTCACCACTGGCATATCCTGTGTTGTATTGTCCATTATTTTGTTGTCCATTATTTTGTTGTCCATTGTTTTGCTGCCCATTATTCTGATGTCCATTGTTTTGCTGCCCATTATTCTGATGTCCATTGTTTTGATGTCCAGTATTGTGATGCCCATTATTTTGGCGTTCCTTCATTTTATCCATAAAATCGAAACTCTGTGTATAACCCGGTGTCCGTGTTCCGTCATTTGTACCCGACGTTTCGGAATTAGATTCCTGGTCGGATGTGACAGTTGACGCCACCTCCGGTTCCGGTCCTAGAAATGCGTCCTGCACTATGACGGCACCATCTACTTTCAAATCAGTTTCGTTTGTTCCTGATCCGCTGGAATTTAAATCTGATTTTGAAGTAACGGTCACAACAGTATCATTGTCATCATCGTCGAATCGGTCAAACAGGTCGGTGAAGGTGGGAGTAATGTCCTCCAGGGCGTAAGAGTTCCGTGTAGGGATGGGGTCCGTCTGTATGACCGGCTCGGCATATCTATACATTATCCCGCTGTTCTGTCCAAATGCTAAAACCTGTGGGGAAAAAATAATAAAAAGTGGGTAAAATTAATACAGCATATATAAAATGTGCAACAAATATTAAACAAATGTATGCATGTTAAATTGATCGATACATTTCCCATTTATATCCTTTAGAAAGTGACAAAGTGTCCTGGACATATTCAGAATGGTTTCCTGTGCATTCTGGTGGGAAAAGTCAAGGATGTTCACCAAGAAGATTACAAAAGTCTCCGAACATATCAAAGTATAAAGATATGATAGTCGACTACCATAATGTCTACGTCCTGAGTCGTCGGGCCATCTGAAAGGACACACTCCCCCGGGCACTTGCGCGTGTGTCTCCTGTGGTAATGGAATGTGGTCCCGGCCCCCAGAATTGGCCCCTGACGGGACAGACGCCTATTACCGTTCATGAAATAAGGACCATCTTTGACCTTTAAAGCTGAAACAGAGAGCGATAACTCTGGCTTATTTAAAACACAATTATTTTCCAAACTACTTTCGAAGAAAAAAAAGATATCCAAATACTAAAGATTGCCACAGCTTTAAATTCGAAGGAAGCTATCTTGTATCCGTTTTACTTATGGCTCCGTTCAGTTGTATATTACCTTATAAAAAAACTTGAACATCAACGATCTATTACTATACTTTTTTTTCCTAATTACACCTTATATTAACTATGAGCCCTCGGCGACACATAATCAGAAAAAAGTGACTGACAGTGTTTTATACCTCTGAAACCGCCCAACATTATCTTCTTATTCCGAAATAGAACGAAAACATAACGAAAAGTATTTGACGTTATGGTAATCTTTGCTAGGCTATAACTTCAGCCAATCAGAAATACCAACCTATATAGTTTCTGCTCCTTGCCAGCTGTGTAATATTAATGTAGGTTGAGCCGATAGGAACGGTCTGTACAAAGCTGTAGCCATTAGTCAATGTGGGATCATCCTTGACCCCGACAAAAATCTGGCACGTGGTTCCGTCACCCCCGCACACCCTACATCGGTCGTTTGTCGTGTGTGACCCAGCAACGCCATCACACCCAACGCGCTGTGGAAATAAACAAACAGGGGTTTTAGGTTGCAATTGTTTTATTTCTCCAGCAATAGTTGGGATAGGGATTGCCAGAGTTGAAGGGCCCTGGGTTCAATTCCCCGAACAATAAATGCGCCCAACGTAGGAGGGTTTCCGTATCTCTTTCACTCAGTTTTACACATCAATTTTTATTCCATTTTTTTTGTGTTAAATTTCTAGAAAGAGTTTTGAAATATTCATAAAAATGGCATTCACACACCCCTCAACCATCCTCATATTTAACATTATCATCATCACACAGTTATATCATCATCTCCACTCAACACTATCCACACATCGTCATGTCATAAAACATCATCAGATCCTCCTCATCGTATCTAACATCACCCACCTTTTCATCAATACCACTTTTAATCATCATCGTCGTATCTAACATCACCCACCTCTTCATCAATACCACATCGTATCTAACATCACCCACCTCTTCATCAGTACCACATCTAATCATCCTCGTCGTATCTAACATCACCCACCTCTTCATCAATACCACATCGTATCTAACATCACCCACCTTTTCATCAATACCACATTTAATCATCATCGTCGTATCTAACATCACCCACCTCTTCATCAATACCACATCGTATCTAACATCACCCACCTCTTCATCAATACCACATCGTATCTACCATCACCCACCTCTTCATCAATACCACATCGTATCTAACATCACCCACCTCTTCATCAATACCACATCGTATCTAACATCACCCACCCCTTCATCAGTACCACATCGTATCTAACATCACCCACCTCTTCATCAGTACCACATCTAATCATACTCGTCGTATCTTACATCACCCACCTCTTCATCAGTACCACATTTAATCATCCTCTTCTATTCACACCTCTCTCTTATTTGTTATTTTTTTTTATTTTCTTCAATTACACTGTCTAAACTTACATATATATTTACTTTCACAATTCACACTCGCTTATAAATTCATTAAATAAATAACGATTCACCAACATCATCATCATCATCATCATCATCATCATCATCATCATCATCATCATCATCATCATCATCATCATCGTTTTCGCATCCATACACAATCGTGGTCGATCAGTGTTACTCGTTGCTTGGCGTTCTGTATGTGTGTTTTGCGTTGTGCTAGTTCTAGTTTTAAGTGTTAACAAAAATGTAATTCGAACCCAAAATCAAAAGTAAGCGTCTTCAGCTTCATCGAGTAATTGCCATGTTAAAGTTCAAATCTGAGTGGTAACAAAACCATCAGCTACACGTGTGAACATCACAAAAAAACGATATTAATATCGCACAAGAAACAAAAGTATTTTCCGATGAGAATATGGCATCCAGAAAACTTGCTCATATTCTTCATTCTTCATTCGAAAATTCATCATTCGACATCTTTAACGGAAATTGGGATATTCCTAGCAAGCCCGTTGATATCATATTAACTGCGGCATGTAAACCGAGGACCTGGATACAGGGAATATGCTATCACGAAAAGGAATGTTCACGATCCATTTTTGTCTTAAATTATTACGTTTATCATACAGCTTAATTTGTATCCTGTGCTTAAACTACAAAAGTGTAAGTTTTAATCAAGTTTTATCTACGGATGTAATAAATAATAAATATATTGCTTGATTAAGGTATCACGTAACTGCACGATTTGTGACGTCAGACGTTCCTCGCCAACTCTCTTCTTACCTTACACACGCCCTGCACACAAACTGATGACCCGTCCTTTTTGCACACGGTTCCATTAGTGATAGGATCCTTAAACGTCGTATAGAACCCTTGACCTCGCGCATGGCATGTCAATTCGCACCTTCCGTCAACTGCAAAGTGCAAAGGTCGCATTATTAATACAAAGAAATTGACCAATATCTTTGTTGTGACAGTTCATGAAAACCCTACCTTTTCTATGTATTACTCAGAAATATTTGGCTGGATGTTAGGAAAATGTCAATTTTCGTCTGATTCATCGACAACTGTTAACAATCTTGTTTTGCATTGCAGTCGCACATTATCGGACCTTTCCGGCACAATCGGGAAAGCATTCGATTGTGCCGGAAACCCCCGAGAACATATATCTGTACGGTGAACGTTGTGAAGAGGTTCAAAGAGGTCATTTCATTATTTTGTTCTATATTTTTATCGGCATTCTGTTACAATTTAGAAGAAGGTTCCTTTATTGATATTGTATTAATTATATATAAGTGACAAACAGACGAGGCCATAACAATGCGGGCAAATACTGCATATGGTAGAATTGATTTTGTAAAGGCTTTTGGCGGTGTTGCGGATTTACCAACACTCTTAATCAGTTAATGCTATATACTACCTCAAAATGCATACAACTGTGGTTTTGTGAATTTATCTACTAACAGATGTAACTAATTCATTCGTTCTTGTGTATCTTTCAAATTAGACATCAGAACATTATTACAATCCGAATTACAAGTTCATAAATTTTGACATTTTTCTCCGTGTGGAGCGCTTTTGGAATGGAGGTAGAAGGCCGACAGTTAGAGGTTTTCATTCCGTTTCTTAATGTGTGGTTTTCCAAATGGGGAAAAGACAGAAAATGTATGTTTTTATTAGGCTGGAGGGATGATTAGGATCCTGAAGCCTAGGAATCTCCTCCGAATCATCCTGAATTGATACAATCTTTGAAATTCTTACAAACATGTAACTACACCTAATTTGATGCATGTGTACAATGAGTATGAATAGACAGACGTCTCACTTTAACCATCATTTAGTAATAAAGCCAACTTGTATAACTTAGCCAAATGCAATTTAAATGAGGGGAGGTAACTCACAGATCATGTAAGGCGCCCATCTGTAACGTCCGTGGCCGATGTCCTCCCCGTCGTGAGAGGAGCAGAGCTGTTCCCTCAAAGTCGTCTGACCTGCTTGACACGCCTTCAATGTCAAACAAATGTGAAATAATGCAAGATCCTATGTGATTCATCACAAAGACTAAAAAATGTAGGGGGAAACCACTGAAGCGAAATGAGCAAGAACAAAAACGAGTCTATTCATCGAATATTATGGCTACAATTGCGCTTATCACGATGGTGTCGCAAAATTGAAGAAATTTTATGATGTGGCTCATTTTTAACTGTCTAGGTAAAACGTTCGTGAAATGTTTGAACTCGCGAGCGACGCTTAACAAGATTTAATAGAACTGCAGCATTGTAGACTCTATAGTTAAATGACATTTTGAAACTATTAATTAAGTGTATGTATCGAAGTAAACTTCATGCCATACCTGAGTATTACAAACTTTAAACTGCAAACGGCTTCCATGGCAACTATAAATAAAAACAAGAGAAAAAAATCAACAACAAAAGTCTATTCTATCCATCTATCAAATCACACTCTCCAATAATTGTTGAAACATTTTTAAACTAAACTTCCACTTTTGTAGTTTAAGTTGATAAATATTAACGAATATAATCAGTACCTGTAACGACACAATATGAAAAACTACCAAGAGTACGTGTAACATTCCTTTCGCACAGGCAAGAAGGAATTTAACACAAATAGAATAATGATAGCTAGCTCTGTTTCGCATCAGGTCTTGCTAAGCATCTACCGTGTTAAAAAAATGAAAAAATATAAATAACCCTAGCCTAGATGTTTCCGGTAATGTTTACATTGATAGAAAATAAGCCACCATACTTAGATACGTTGTACAAATTAAATGTCCCCCTAACTTTGTCGATCACTTACGCGTGATTTTCACGGAGACACGCCCGATCTCTGGTCATGGACCCAGTTCCACACTGGGCGTTACATCTGGTCCACTCACCCCAGGGGCCCCAACCGTGGTTATGTTCAAGGTAGTCCTGGAAAAACGACAGAAATGTAGCAGTTATTTCCCTTAGTCCAGTTGTTTACAGACGGGTTACAGTTATATAGAAGGTATATGTTACAGTTATAGACGGGTTACAGTTATAGATGTGTTACAGTTATAGACGCGTTATAGTTATAGATGTGTTACAGTTATAGACGCGTTATAGTTATAGATGTGTTACAGTTATAGACAGGTTACAGTTATAGACGGGTTACAGTTATATACGGGTTACAGTTATATACGGGTTACAGTTATAGACGGGTTATAGTTATAGATGGGTTACAGTTATAGACGGGTTATAGTTATATACGGGTTATAGATATATATGGGTTATAATTATAGACGAGTTACAGTTATATACGGGTTAGAGTTATAGACGGGTTATAGTTATAGACGGGTTACAGTTATAGACGGTTTACAGTTATATACGGGTTACAGTTATATACGGGTTATAGTTATATATGGGTTATAGTTATAGACGGGTTATAGTTATAGACGGGTTACATTTATATATGGGTTATAGTTATATACGGGTTACAGTTATAGACGGGTTACAGTTATAGACGGGTTACAGTTATAGACGGGTTATAGTTATATACGGGTTACAGTTATAGACGGGTTACAGTTATAGACGGGTTACAGTTATATACAGGTTATAGTTATATACGGGTTACAGTTATAGACGGGTTACAGTTATAGACGGGTTACAGTTATAGACGGGTTATAGTTATATACGGGTTACAGTTATAGACGGGTTACAGTTATAGACGGGTTACAGTTATATACAGGTTATAGTTATATACGGGTTACAGTTATAGACGGGTTACAGTTATAGACGGGTTACAGTTATAGACGGGTTATAGTTATATACGGGTTACAGTTATAGACGGGTTACAGTTATATACGGGTTACAGTTATATACAGGTTATAGTTATATACGGGTTACAGTTATAGACGGGTTACAGTTATAGACGGGTTACAGTTATAGACGGGTTATAGTTATATACGGGTTACAGTTATAGACGGGTTACAGTTATAGACGGGTTACAGTTATATACAGGTTATAGTTATATACGGGTTACAGTTATAGACGGGTTACAGTTATAGACGGGTTACAGTTATAGACGGGTTATAGTTATATACGGGTTACAGTTATAGACGGGTTACAGTTATAGACGGGTTACAGTTATATACAGGTTATAGTTATATACGGGTTACAGTTATAGACGGGTTACAGTTATAGACGGGTTACAGTTATAGACGGGTTATAGTTATATACGGGTTATAGTATAGACGAGTTACAGTTGTATACGAGTTACAGTTTTAGACGGGCTATAGTTATAGACGGGGTACAGTTATAGACGGGTTACAGTAATATNAGTTACAGTCATATATGGGATACAGTTATAGATGGGTTATAGTTATAGACGGGTTATAGTTATATACGGGTTACAGTTATATACGGGTTATAGTTATATACGGGTTATAGTTATAAATGTTACAGTTATAGACAGGTTATAGAAAGGTTATAGAAATAGATGATTTACAGTTATAGACGGGTTATAGTTATATACGGGTTATAGTTATAAATGGGTTACAGTTATAGACGGGTTACAGTTGTAGACGGGTTATAGTTATAAATGTTACAGTTATAGACAGGTTATAGAAATAGATGGGTTACAGTTATAGACAGGTTATAGTTATAGACGGGTTACAGTTATATACGAGTTACAGTTATAGACGGGTTATAGTTATAAATGGGTTACAGTTATATACGGGTTATAGTTATATACGGGTTATAGTTATATACGAGTTATAGTTATATACGAGTTACAGTTATAGACGGGTTACAGTTATATACTGGTTACAGTTTTTGACGGGTTACAGTTATAGACGGGTTATAGTTATATACAGGTTACAGTTATATACGGGTTATAGCTATAGACGGGTTATACATGTAACTTCATGTACAGGTTTATCTACAAGACAGGTTTGGCTGTAGTAATGGACAGCCAAGTGGTCACAATAAACAGGTGGTCGTTATACTGTACCAGGTATAACTGTAAATCAGAATAAGGAAAGGTACAGTGGCTGTATACTATTTCTGTGTCATTTTAAATGGAAATGAAGGTGACCAGATATGAAAGTTGTACGATTCTTTTACTTTCAAACTCCTTTCACCGCGGTAAACAGCTGTAATAACATTTACATTATGAAACATAAATATACAAAATGATATACAACTATAAAATGCTTCAGCCGTCACTTTCCCTTTCTTTTCTCGGCATGTGACAGTAGTAGATGATGTAATCCCACGAGTACAGATATGTGTACATTTCACCTGTTTGGTATACAATATTGTTTAGAAAGCTTCCTGACATATTATGTACATTTAATTGCCTGTTAGAGTAATATATACACAGCAACACTGTCTAAAGACAAGCGCAGTAAAATATGTAGTTGTGTATCCCTATTATATGTTGCACCGTCCTCAATACGGCGCCTTCTTTCCGATTACATATAATTTTATACAAAGCTGTCAGCTTTATTCATATCATACCTCTTAATAATTGCCGCATATTGAAAAAAAATATCATCAAGCGGAACACAATAATCACATATTATCCTGTTTCTATAAGCACTTAAAAGTGTATTATTATATCTAAATGCACCGCCAGAGGGAGGCACTATAGTCATAATCTAGGTCATATCCACGCTTGAAAAGAAACAAGTCAAAGTTGCGATATCTCCAGTAACTCCCATACATAACTTGGTGATTATTTCTCGGCGGGACACGGACGATCCTGATCCGAGGGTTGGTTACCTACGTAGAGTAGAGCTTTCTCGTGCTATTATCGGTATTATGTTGTTTAGATACACTATTCTCACAATATCAAAACCGTATCATCAAGTCATGCACAATTTAAAAAGGAAATTGAAACCATTACATAAATTATGTCAAGATATGAATAATGTAACAGTTTTGTATAAAACTACACTGATGTAAGGATAACCGTGTTCAGATCTTATGTGGAAACTGCTTGCAAATAGTAATACGTTTGCTATTCCCTTTTTTTGAGCACGCCGTTTTATGACAGAGAAACAACAGACACTTTCTTTTACTTTTAAAAGGAAACAATATACATGTATGAATAATTTCAATTTGTTATATAAGATTCGATGCCGAGAAACGGCAAAAAAAGAAACCGCGAACATACAGATCCTGTACATGCACAAAAAAACCCACTAGTGATATATTATTTTCAACATGAAATTCTACCCCAATAACATATTTACACTCCTCAACAACCTTGACGGATTAATGCGTTTTCTGCTTTTCTGCACGTGCATTCTTTTGTCCTTGTGCACGTGCAGAATGTCGCATTTTGCTTTGTAAACAAGTAAGTTTGACAATTATTATCAATTTTATTACTGTTGAGTAAATCTTTACATCTAAGAAATGAGAGAAACAATTTTATTACTGGTGAACGTGTTTTGAAAGTTATGTATAGACTGGGTAAAAAAGGTCCGCAGGTAATAAGCGTTTTGAATGATTCAGACTTGTGTCGCCCTAAACGTTGTCCCTGGACCCTTTAGTGTGCATCGGGACACTACCCGTGCCTTAAGGATACGTCTCCAGTAGTCAAACAAACATAAAGGCAAATGTAAACAGTATTAAACTTCAAGTTTTCCAAATCATTGATATAATTTTTTAATGATTGATAAACAGAACAAAAACTTCGACTGAGCTCAAAATCCTTGCATGAGCAAGTGAACGGCTTCGTGAATACGGGCCCAGGGTCCGCTCCAGGTCAGGATGTCCGCTTGTGACGTCATTACGTTAGGAAAATTACATCCGAGATGTACATTTGCGGAACCGCTTCCAAACTACAGATTTGACGATGAGATGCATTCGTGGATTACGGAGAATCAGTCTTAAAACTGGAAGAAACTTCCTGTGTGAACGGCACATTCGTCCATGACGTCCAGCTATCCTCCCGTCTTCAAAAGGGGTCATCATGCTGGACTCTTTTGCTTGGTGCAGACGACTCATCCGCTTTACTCGACGGGATTTGACGCCAATTGGTAATTAGTAGTTAAGACTGCTCCAGATCTAGAGAACCGTCGCGTTGGAGAACATTTTCTATTGTGTCGTGGAACGTCGTTCCCTCGGCAAAGGTATTGTAAAGGTCAAGGGAAGCATAACAACGAACGTCAGAACGACTCTGGTGGTCATTGATGGAAAAATCACCGGTGCACACCTAGCGCGATAAGAGCCTACACGATCACGTCATCCCGTCTGTGCAAGACGGCCTTGTTACGCTGCATCATCACATGACCTTTCGCCCATCGCTAACGTATGGGACGAGATGCAACGTCGGCTACGTTGACTACCGAATCAGTCTGTGCCGTTGGCTGAGCTGTCCACGTACTGGTCGGATTAGACAGGTTTTACTGTAAAAGTCCCTGTACTGGTCGTTTATGATAAGTTTTACTGTACAAGTCCGTTAACTGGTCAATTATGACGAGTTTTACTGTAAAAGTCCCTGTAATGTTCGGTTTAGACACGTTTTACTGTTCAAATCTCTGGTCGGTTACGACAAATTTTACTGTACAAGTCCCTGCACTGGTCGGTTAAGACAATTTTTATTGTATAAGTCCCGGTACTGGTCGGTTATGACAAGATTTACTGTATAAGTCCCTGTACTGGTCGGTTATGGCAAGATTTATTGTATAAGTCCCTGTACTGGTCGGTTATGGCAAGATTTATTGTATAAGTCCCTGTACTGGTCGGTTATGGCAAGATTTATTGTATAAGTCCCTGTACTGGTTGGTTATGACAAGTTTTACTGTATAAGTCCCTGTACTGGTCGGTTATGGCAAGATTTATTGTATAAGTCCCTGTACTGGTCGGTTATGACGAGTTTTACTGTATAAGTCCCGGTACTGGTCGGTTATGACAAGTTTTACTGGATAAGTCCCGGTACTGGT